TCTTACCCCCACAGTATTTGTTTCCAGATGGTAAGTCATCTGTGTACCAAGTTTGGTTGAAATTGCTCGAGGTGTTGATGGAAGGGAGGTTATAATTTGGAACCTATCACCTGCTTAATTTTTTAGATTGGATCTGGCTTGTCTAGGATCCTCGTCCAGCCCTTAGAGATCTTTGAATAATACTTTAAATAATATTTGNGATGATAGATGATAGATGATAGATGATAGATGATAGATGATAGATAAATTGATAGACAGACTGATAGATAGTATTTGTAGGAGAAAAGCCCCCAACAGAATGTGCCCCCAAAATGTTGGCAATTCTCCACAACAGGTTATGGCATGACACCCTGAGTTTTTGCAGATAACCAATATGATACAGTAGATACGGGTTAGTCAAGGATTCAGGAAGGCCATGCTTAAGTCCGAGAGGGCAAGGTTCTGAGCATGCATATACTGTATGTATAGAAACACTCTGAATTAGAAACCAGGAGCTGGAGCATTGCATTTTTCTGCTCAGATACTCACTTCCTTTAGAATTAGGTTACTATCCCTAGTTGTAGAGAAATATTCTAGTCTTCATCCCACTCATCCCCTGACAAGAATTACAGGAGGGACTTTCAGGAATTGATGTGTCAGCTTACCTCAGGGTAGAAAAGAGGATGGTAGAAATGTTGAACCGAAAAACTCTGAAGCACAAATGCGCATAAGAATTCTCTATTATGTGCAAGTGATTCATAATTCCCTCTCTGGCCGATTCATCCTTGACTTTGTGTTCTTGATAACTATGCTTACTATGCCATAGCCCAACCCTCACCCACGTTTCGAGACTCAGTCTATTTACTTTTAAAGCTGAAGGCAGGGAATTTTCTAGTTTCTGGTTGAAGAGTCCTTCATTCAGTAGCCTCAGGCCCTGAGAACATCTGCATTTTACTTAGAATAGGGACGATGATGAATGAAAGAAAGAAAGCTGATTACGTATTTATTTCTTTAGTGTTACAGTGTTTTATTAGCTACCCAATGTTATTGCAGTAATTCAAATACAAAGCAATTAAACTAATGCTAGCCTCATCAGGTAGTCTAGGTAACAAGCACAAGAATGAATATTAGTTCTCTGTAAAGGTATATTAACAGCATCTTGCAAGGCTGAAATTATTTCTTCCCTCTGTGCTTTTACTCTCCAGAAATCCCATAATCCCTTCCGAAATGCTTCCCACGTTCTCCTTCCTTTTGCAAGCTGAGATACCTTATACAAGCTGACCTTTGTGGCTCTTCCTCCTGTCGCCCAAGTCATTCTCACATAACATAACAAATCATGATACTCCACTGATTCAGATGGTTGCCCAAACACAATTAAGAATTAGAAGTTCATTGGAGTAGCCCTGATTTTTTTTTTNTTTTTTTTTTTAAGAAAAATAAAAAAGTTCTGTTTTTAAAAGTATATTGGCCATGCATAAAGGCCATCTGAAGATTGATATAGTCTAGGTTAAGTGTATGTTGAAAAGCAATTGCATTGAACACTTTCATGCGTTTGTGTATTGTGGACCAAAAAACAATCAGGTGCCATCACAACTCAGTGTATGTTAGTGTTGATGGCTTTAAGATCTGTGGACTTCAATTCCCAGAACTTGAACTTCAGCTCCAGAATTCTGGGAGCTGAAGTCCACATATCTTCAAGTTGCTAAGGTTGAGAAACACTGGTCAATGTAACCCAATTCAAATGGGGAACGAATCATGGAAAAGAGGCAAATCTGTAGATTTGGAATAATTTCTGTCTTCAGGTTCCTATCTAGCAGCTACAAAAGCAGTAGCACATATCAACAATTCAATAACTTGGAAGTGAGAAGGATATTTCCTTTCACAAGCTCCTTACATGACTCTGACTGAAACAGCCATCACTCTGTTTGCCTCACAGGTGAAGTCTTGTGTTAGCTGGTGGCACATTTTGTTCTCCAGGTTCTGATGAATAATTTGCTTTTAGGTTGCCTTACCCAAACACCCATGCAGAAACTAGTTTGCATTTACTTACTGATATAAAATCAGCGGCAGTCAAATAACACAAAGTAATTGTTTGGAAAGACTTGATTCCTTAAAAAGCAACAATTGAAAATGGTTGATGGTTCACTTCTAGCAGATTGATTGCAGGACAATACTGACAGGTCCAGACCAAAATCCTGCTCTGATATAGATAAATGGAGCAGATCTCCTGATCTTCTAAGTTGTACTTCTAATTCATTTCTGTAGAACAGGGGTGTCAAACTTGATTTCACTGAAAGCCATATTAGGGTTGTGTTTGACCTTGGGGTGGGGGGAGGCATGGCCAGCTCAACGTCACTTGTGTCAGGGGCACCTGCGGTAGCCCAAGTGCTCTGCCAGCGAAAATGGGCTCCCAAGCTCCATTTTTGCCTGAGACAGCCTCCTGCAATCCTCTGCCAGTGAAAACAGAGCTTGGAAGGGCTTGCCCATGGCCCCCGCTAGCTCTGTTTTCACAGTCGTCATGAGCCAGTTCTCGGTTTCCAGGGTGACCCCATGGGCCAGATCTAAACACCCCATGGGCCGGATCCAGCCCCCAGGCCTTGATTTCGACACCCCTGCAATAGAACATGGTATCTGGCAAATAACTTTTATAGATCAAATTGCTCCTGGAAATATCCATTGGACCATTAGATACCTAAGAAACCCTATACCAGTGGTTCCCATCTTTCACAATTTAAAGATAAGTGGACTTCAGTTCCCAGAATTCTGAGAAATGGCTATGTTCGCTGTGGAATTTTGGGAGTTGAAGTCCACATATCTGGAAATTGCTAAGGAAATCCTACTGTGTATGATCAGATAAACAGCCATTGCTCCCTTGGAGTAGGGCTGTCAAATTCCCGGCCCATAGGCCAGATGTGTCACAGGCTAGTCACACCCATGCCCAGTTTAGTGAATGGGGGGAAAGTCCCGATATGTCATGTGACATTGGCGTGACAACGTCAATTTGACATCCCTGCCTTAAAGGTTCTTCTAATCAGAAGTTTCTAATTAGACATTTTTGAGTTTAAATAGCAAACTGCCTACTTAAAAAGTAAGTTCCTAACCCAGACAAGTCAATGATTCCACCCAGGGAAGGAGACACTGTGTTATTTCAGGCCAAATCATTCTTTCTGTGAACCCCATTTGAAGTTAGCTCACTAGGTCTTCACATCGATCAGTTTTTCTTATGAAAAGTTAAACAGGACTTCATGCAATCAAAGCATTCCGGAGTTAAGAATTTTGATTTCTACCACTCCTTCTAATGAGGTAACCTAACGGCTGCTTGCCAGCAGAAAGAATAAAAGAGATTAGTGTGCCAAACTTTAAACTATATGCCTGTAGAGGTTTTAACCTTAAATTTAATGTTTAATTTAAATGCAATCCAGTTGGATTGCTCATATCCACTTTTTGGAGTACATACCAGGTAGGGTACCCAAAGATCAAATATGGCCCTTGGTGGGGGAGGGGAACATAGACCTCCATTATAGGGATTGTTAGACACCCTTAATCATCTTCTTCACCATGTTTTGAGGCTGTTCTGCTTGTTTATGTTCTTCTGAAAGGGTCATACTAGAGATCAGAAGTGGTATTCAGCAGGTTCTAACCAGTTCTGGAGAACTGGTAGCAGAAATTTTGAGTAGTTTGGAGAATCGGTAAATACCACCTCTGACTGGCCCCATCTCTACCTATTCTCTGCCTCCGGAGTCCCAGCTGATTGGGAGAAAATGGAAATTTTGCAGTATCCTTCCCCTGCCATGCCCATCAAGCCATGCCCACCAAGCCATGCCCACAGAATCAGTACTAAAAAAAATTGAATCCAACCACTGCTAGAGATGATACCTTTGGCATCCTTTGAGTTATTTCTACTATTCATAACTTGTTGTGTAGAATCCATACTATAGATACAGCATATCCTGCTCTGTTTCTATCAAGCATTCCTATGTAATGACCTGTAATATGGATCTATTTACTCCCTAATTACTTTACTATTATTCAAGCTCAAGTGGAAGTTGTCTGCACAGGTTTTTTTAATCACTCTGAATTACACACCACTACTAATGTTTCATAGCTTCAGGCTGGCATAAGGGCTTAGGTGTTATAAATATACAGGTGGTTTCCAAAGAAGTAAGCAGAAGTAGGATCTTTTAGCTGTAAGTCATGTTCCCTCATGACCTGTGTGAAAAGAACAACCTTTGTGAAAAAGTCCTTGTTGAAAGGATGAGTCCAGATTAACATAGTTCTTCAGTCATATTTCGTACCCTCACCACCCTCCAGACCTTCCGCACAGCCCTTAAAATCTGGCTATCTTGTCAGGCCTGGGGTTAAAGAATGTAACTCACCCCCACCCGNAGGTTTCACTTTTCACCAAAGAAGCTTCTTCAGTTCAGAAATAACGCACACAGTATTCCATTAAAAGCAAGACAAATCCATGCTAATGCCAGAGAACCATGAATTGTACAAGTAACCACACCTTTATGCAATTTGCTTTACTGTGTCATATATGTTTTATACAGGTAGTCCTTGACTTATGACCACAATTGAGCCCTACATTTCTGTTCCTATGCGAGAGAGTTGTTAAGTGAGTTTTGCTCCAGTTTATGACCTTTCTTGTCACTGGTGTTTTAACTGCAGTTGTTAAGTTAGCAACACGGTTGTTAAGTGAATCTGGCTTCCCCACTGACTTTGCTTGCCAAGAAAAGGTCACAACAGGGGATCACATCACCCAGGACACTGCAACCGTCATAAAAGTGAGTCCATTGCCAAGCATCTGAATGTTGTTTACATGACCATGGCGATGCTGCAATGGTTGTAAGGGTGAAAAACGGTCATAAGTCCCTTTTGTCAGTGCCACTGTAACTTTGAACGGTCATGAAATGTTGTAACTCGAGGACTCTCTGCGTTGTCTGTATGTTTGCAAGAGTAAATAAAGTTACTCAATAATGTCCCATTGTTTTCAGTATTCTAGGCTTTCAAAGCAATACGGAATGGAAATATATCTAAAGAAAGAACTTCTTCAGTATACAGGGACTGCGAAGGAGCGAGGCGTCCTTTATCTTTTGATGTCTTTAAGAGAGGTAGGAAAAATCAGGAAAGTGAAACGCAAGCACCAGAGTGAATGAATGGTTTGTTAAATTTTGAAAGAACCATGAGAAGTGAGCTGAGCTAACCTGAAAGATAACAAGCTTCCAACTTCCCTAATTATCTTTTTACAACATTTCCCAAGGGGGTAATTTTTCTCCCAGAAAAATGGCCATAATAAGTGTTGCCGTTGAATTGGAATATGAAGCTGGTTTTTCATAAACCAACTGACAATTAGCCACTGGCTCGTGTTTTTCACCTCACATGTTCTATCAAGCCTTTGCACTGGATGAAATACCTATTAGCATTGTATTCATTTACCTGTTACATGGAACAAAATCCCAGTGGTTCCTATGAGAGGGAGCTGAAAGCTACCAAGCCACCATTCCTCTTGGAAGACCTGAAACCCAGAAAACAATAAAACCTAGGTTAACACATCACTTCACAATGCTTTACAGCCATCTCTAAGTGGTTTACAGAGTCAGCATATCGCCCCCAATTATCTAAGTCTTCATTTTACCAACCTCAGAAGGATGGAAAGCTGAGTCAAGCTTGAGCCGGTCAAGATCAAACTCCTGGCAGTGGGCAGAGCCAGCTTGTAATTCTGCATTCTAACCACTGTGCCACCACAGCTTTTAAACTATGCTTGTGGGCTGCCTTAGTTTGCTGATCCCAAAGAATTGCTTTAACACGTTAGGTTGGTGAAGCGTGTATCCAGCTTCTAACCGGTCTCCTAAATTTTGTGGGTTCACGTTCTCCAGGACCAGCAAAGAAATGGTGTGATCGTGGCCTCAGATTGCAACTTCTCCATGGCTGTCGCGTATCACGCCACGGAGCTGCACATTCCTGTCTTTGTCATCATGTCTACTTGCACCCCGCCAACCAGAGTGAAGATGTGTCGCGAGTACGGTGCCATGGTCATTTCCTATGGTTCTACTATAAGAGACTCTCATCTGCATGCCAGGAGACTGGCCCAAGAAAACAACTACTTGTACCTCGAAGAGTAAGTTGTTATCTTGTAGAAACTTGATTTCATTGAAGGCTGCACAAGGATTGTGTTTGACCTTGGGGGGGGGGAAGAGGGGTTTCCAGCAGCCACTACTGCTGCTTCGCTTGGGGGTGTGCCATGCATGCAGTACAATAAAAATTGCTCTGCGTATGCGCGGAACTGAAAAACAAGATGGCACCGCCTGGAAAACCTGTTTGGGGGCGTGGTAGGCCTGGGTCGGTGCCAATTCCAGCGACCCAGGCCGCCAAACCACTATCAGTGTGGCCGAACCAGTCTGAACTGGTAGGAACCCACCACTGAAGGAGGGGGGCAGGAGATGTGTGGTCAGGGTGGGCATAGCCAGATATACATCACTCATCGAGGTTCCATTTTCAGCCATGATGGCTTCCTGCAGCCCTCTGCCAGCAAATATGGAGTTCCTGCTGCGCGCGGCCTCCCTGAGCTCCATTTTTGCTAACAGAGGCACTGCGGGCTGGTCCTTCACTGTTTCCAGAGCAGCCCCATGGGCCAGATCTAAGTACCTCATGTGTCAGGGCTGGCCCATGGGCTTTGAGTTTCACACCCCTGCTGTAGATGTTGTTCGCAAAACCCACACTTGAAATGAGCACAACACAAGAGCCCGGGTAGCAGTTTTCATTCTTACCTGCAGGTGGTAGCATCTAGCTGACTTTGGGCTCAGAAGCTAAACATGGCTCAGAACGGATCGGGACTTGTATAGGAGACCATCATGAATAGCAGACTGTGGGCTAGATTGGAAAATAAAAAATACCGTCCAGAGAGACATCCCAGAGAAGCTACAGTAGTCCTTGACTTACGACCACAATTGAACCCAACATTTCTGTTGCTAAATGTTAAGAAATTCTATATATAGCCCTACAGAATGAGCACAATGTACAGACTGCATGGACCTTTCTGCTTAACTGCAGACAGGAAACAGGACACTTTCTATACAGAATTTTATATAACATTATTTTATAAATGTTATTCTTTATATGTTATACAACAACTACAGCCAACCAGTAGATGGCAGTGTTTATGTGCTGTCTGACCCAGCTCCCCAAACACGGCAAACCCTCTGTAGTTGAAGCAATGATTCCCTTATTAGGAGCGCCAGGAACCCCGGCAAAAAGTTTCTCTCTCAACACAGGCTGATAAGTCCATCCGGCAGGGAGACGAATAGTTGTCTGCCACATCTATTCATCTCCGCCCCTGCCTTTTATCCCCAGAGCTAGGGTGGGGCTTTGGTAGCAGGGGTGGCTCTTCCGTCCCAAGGACCAGCCCATAGATTTCCACTGCTCTTCTCTCCTCTGCCTTCTGTGCATCCACGTGTCAGGCACTGGACCCAGCTGTTCCTCCTCTTCCTCACTAGCCACCTCCAGACATGGAGGCTGTTGACTCTCCATCTGAGGGCTGACAGATGGCCCAGGACCTCTGTCTCTCTCTCTCTCTTTCTCTCTCTGTATCTCTATCTTTATCCTTCTCTGTGTGTGTGTGTGTGTAGCTCTATAATCTCTCTCTCTCTCTCTCTCTCTCTCTCTCTCTCTC